TATAGGAAAAAAATCCTAAAGATTCCACTACAAAACTGTTAGAACTAACAAATTCAGTAAAGTTGTAGAATACAAAATCAACATACGGAAATCTGTTGAATTTCTATACACTAATAAACTAGGAGAAAAAGAAATTAAGAAAACAATCCCATTTATAACTGCATCAAAAAGAATAAAATACTTGGAATAGGTAAGGAGGTAAACAACCTGTACGTTGAAAACTCTAAGACATTGATGAAAGAAATTGAAGACGACACAAATAAATGGCAAGATATTCTCTGTTCACGGACTGGAAGAATTAGCACTGGTAAAATGTCCATACTATCCAAAGCAATGCACAGGTTTAACGCAAACCCTATCAAAATTCCCATGGCATTTTTCACAGAAATAGAACAAACAATCCTAAAATTTGTATGGAACCACAAAAGACCCCAAATAGCCAAAGCAATCTTGAGAAAGAACAAAGCTCAAGACATCACACTCCCTGATTTCAAACTATATTACAAAGCTATAGCAATGAAGACAGTATCATAACGCCATAAAAAGAGACACATAGATCAATGGAACAGAACAGAGAGCCCAGAAATAAACGCACACGTATATGGTCGATTAATTTACAACAAAGGAGTCAAGAACATACGATGGGGGAAGGACAGTTTCTTCAATAAATGGTGTTGGGAAAACTGGACAGCCACATTCAAAAGAATGACACTGGTCCACTGTCCTATACCACACACAAAAACTAACTCAAAATGGATTAACAATTCGAACATAAGACCTGAAACCATAAAACTCCTAGAAGAAAACATTAGCAGTAAGCTCCTTGACATCAGTCTTGATGATTTTTTGGATGCGACACCAAAAGCAAAGGCAATAAAAGCAAAAATAAACAAGTCGGACTATATAAAACTAAAAAGCTTCTGCACAGCAAAAGAAACCATCAAGAAAATGAAAAGGCAACCTGCCAAATGGGAGAAAATATTTGCAAATCATATATCTGATAAGGAGTTAATATCCAAAATATATAAAGAACTCATACTACTCAATACCAAAAAAACAATTAAAAAATGATAGGAGGAACTTAATAGACATTTTTCCAAAGACGACGTACAGATGGCCGACAGGTACATGAAAAGGTGCTCAACATTACTAGCAATAGGAAAATGCATATCAAAACCACAATGAGATATCACCTCACGTCTCACACCTTACAGGGTCTGGGAGGTGGGTGAAACAGGAGAAGGGGGTCAAAAGGTACAAACTTCCAGTTATGAAATAAATAAGGACTGAAGGGGTAATGTACAGCATTGGCCATAATTAATAATACTGTATTGTATATTTGAAATTGCTGAGAGTAGATCTTAAAAGTTCTCATCACAAGAAAAAAAATTTTTAACTATGCAGAGTGACAGGTGTTAACTAGACTTATTGTGTTGATCATTTCATAATATATACAAATGTCGAATCACTATGTTGTACACCTGAAACTAATGTTAATTATATATATCTCTAATATATCTCATTAAAAAAGAGAGAATCTTTAGTTTAAATCATACACTAATTGGACTTAAATCAGCAATTAACATTGTGATTCAAAAGTTTAAAAGTTATATACAAAATGCTGGGAATGTTTCATCAAATACTGTCTCTAAAAACTATGATGCAATGAGGGATGATTGTATATTTCTTAACTTTCTGAGGATAGAACCTGCTTATAACAGAAGACTATCATTCATGCTCTTTAGGAACACATTTTATTCAGAAGTAGGAACTGACTCTAGTGGCTTAGAATTTTCAAATTGCAATTTATGATCTCAGTGTTTAGAGGGAATTATGGTGAAGCATACTGCAAGTTCACAGATCTAGTTTCTAATACTGATTCTGTCTTTGATCTCACATAAACCTCATCTACCTTAGCTCGGCCTAAAACCTCTGCAAAATGAAGAAGATGAAATATAGTTAGTTCTACAGATCTAAAGTTTTTTCAAAGTTGGAAGGATTGTCCCTGTTTATTACATATTACACTTCTCCATTCCTGATGTTTCTACCTATGACACCGAGAAGTTCCATAGCTATGACACTCCAGCTTCTATAAATCCGTAAGGAGTGAAATGGCATCTGGTTGGCAGATATAAGAAAAATCCAAGCATGTTCTGCTCAGTTCTATCAATTTTTTCCTCTAGGGAACTAGAGGTCTCAGAGAATAAGAGGTTTCCACTGCTCCTCCAAGGGCAGCCAGAGCTGGTTTAACATTGCCTGTGACTACTGTTAAATCTGCTGAATTTTAGGTTTAGTGAGCAGATGAGGCTTTCATACTATAATGTGTCAGTAAGGAAAGGTTTTATTTTGGTCCCCTTCTGTCACTCCTTGGTTTTAATTCTTAACATGCTCAAACATAGGAAATGAAGAAGTATCATTAACTAGAGGCCTCTCAGTGAACAACATTAAACTACTGATCAACACTACTTAGCAGTACTAAGATGAACCGAAATTCTCAGAGAAACTAAGTTTAAACATAGTATTTTATGACATCTAAGATCAGGTGCCCTCCCTATATAACTTAGGCAGGAAAGAGTACAGGGACAGTACAGAAACTCAAAAGTTACAGCTACTAAGACTATAACTTTAGGAAGAGAGGCCTGATTCCTCATTACAAGAACAAATAATAATCTACGATTAGTAAGATTCAAGAGTCTTCCATCAGTCACACTTAAGAGTGATTCTCTAAAATTTAACCCAGGACAGTAAGAGTATTTGTGTAATGGCCCTTATTTACTCACAATTAGCGGAGTCATCAATGGCATTATGCCAAAACTAAACAACATCTAGGAACCAAAACTCCTAGATAATCTAAGAAAAACTTCGATTATCTGAGATTTGGATCACGCCCAGGCTGCATAAAACCATCTGAACAAGAACCCTGTTTACTCTTCAATTAGAAGAGTGATTGAATAGGAAGAGGAGACAGAAAGGTATAGGCAAATTTCTTGAGATTCAAGATGGACCTAAAACAATTTTTATTTTTATGACTGTCACCAAGAGATCAGTCTAAAAATATTTATTAAGCACCTATAATGAATCAGAACCTTTGGTTGGTGTTAGGTACACTGTGGTGAGCAACATGTCATCTCTGTGCTTTTTAGAAGTTATTGGTGTTGGGGAGGAGAGCAGTGCAGATATAGAAATTAATTATAAAAGTATTTAACTTTGGTACAGCTTCAGTGGCACTTTTCCCTAGCCACTGGTCTTCTGCCATTTCACCTCATCTGTCTACATTGTCTACATAGGCATATAAGCTAAAAATGCTCATTTTTATAACTCCTTTAAGTACTATAATGTCCAGCCATTAGTTAAAGAAAGTTAAATATCCCAAACAGCAAAGGATAGTGAGTGAGAAGAACAGTTAGGAATTTGCTTATAACCAATCAGATGTTGGTCTGCGACTTAGATTCGGTAAATCAAGTTCCCATAACACTTTTGATTTTGTTGCCATGAATTTTGCTAGAATACACTCTCCTCTCAACCTCTACAAGACAAAGAAACACACTAGGCCAAACTTGGCAGAAACTTCCAAGAATTTTCTTGAAAAGAGAGCCTTTAAACCCTATATCAAAGACTGAGAGGTCTAACAACAAAATAACAAAAGACCAAATTGTTCTCTCTCTTCTATTACTTTCGCTTGGACTGAGACTCCTAAAGCCCCAATACTTCTGGTTTTAGTAATAAGACTAAACTAATTTCTACATGCACAGGTCCAAATTAGCCACTGATTTGCTATGGAGACCGTTCTCACATAAACAACTCTATGAAACACTCACTTGGTTATATAGTATTAAGTAATGATTAATGATTCTCCTAAGCAAGGCTATCTAATAAAGTTCTAAATTTAAAAAAAATCTACATTTACAAAGCTGAGGACCACACCCTGGAATACAGTGACTACACCAAGCTAGTCTAAGCAACGTTCTTCAGTATCTTGATGCACACATCTCAAAGCTTTTGAGCAGAATACAATTTTGAAGGAAAAAATTAATCAATTTATATATACTTATGGCATACCAGGGAGAGAGGAAAAAAAATTCCAGATGAATTAAAGAGTCAGATAAAAATATTCCAAAATGAGGGGAAAAAAGGACAAAACTAAATCACTTGAAATAGAAGAATTTTTCAAGTTAATAACAGGTCACACAAATCACTAAGAAACATTAAAACAAGTAAATGAAAAAATTCTTCACAAAAGAAAAAATAGTCAAAAGAAATATATGAAACAGTCAACAGTAAAAAAAAAACAAAACAGATTAAAACAAGATCCTGCATCTCGCACACCAATTAGCTAGGAACAAATAAAAATTGAAGGGGCAGGTAAAGATGTAGTGAAACAGGTGATAACTGCCAACGCTACTAACGAGATTATAAAGTGGAAATCAATTTGTCAGAGCCTTGTCATTAATTTGACTTCTGTAACTTTTTATTAGATAAATACCTCTGAATATAGAAAAGGCTTCATGCAAAAGAGAGATTTAAAACAATAGCATCATCATGAAGAATGCAATTCAAGAAAAAATATATAAAAGATGCATACCGTAATCTGTAGGACAACCACTACACACACACGAACACCAGCAATAACATTACAGTATAATCCAACCAATTCAGAGATTGAAATAACGTGAGAACATAAGGAAATGCATATGTCATAATGTTGAATGAAAAAAGATATCAAGTTATCATATATTACAGACACAACTGTATATAAAAACCTGCACAGAAAAAAGCCAATTGAAAGATATCAAATATACAATAGCACCATACAAAACAACATTGTTTTGTTGGGGGTGGTGGTATGAAAAATTCTACTTTACAGAGTGATGAGATTTATATCAGAACCAACTGCCAATCAAGCCATCTTCACAAAATACATATTTGGTCAATCAATTATCATCTCATCTAATTAACTTCTATTTATTCACAAATTTTTAGAAATATGATCAAGAACTTACCACATGAGTAGTTTTTAACGTATTGCCATCAAATCTGCATAAACTGGAGCTCTCTTCAAAGAAAATATCACATTCTTCTAACTCTTGAGCATTACAAGGAGGTTTTTCTTTATCTGGATTTGGATTCTTAGACCAGAAGATAAAATAAACAAACAACAATAAAATATTTCTTCATATTTAAAAATGTTAAGTTACAACAATAACTAAAAACTAAATTTCAGACCCATGACCAATAAAAACCTAATCAACAAAAACAGACACAGAAATGACAGAATGATGGAATCAGCAGAAAAAGATAGTAAAACAGCTATTATAAACATGTCTATATACTCAAAGACGTAAAGAAAAACATGAACATGTTGAGGGAGGTAAAGAAGATATAAAAAAGAACCAAACTGAACTTCTAGATATGAAAATATAATATCTGAAATGGAAAATAAAATAGATGGGATACACAGCTGATTAGACATTGCAGAAGAAAAGACCAGTGAGTTTGAAACACAGGAATAGAGTCTATCTAAAATGAAACACAGAGAAGACAAAAAATAAAAACACGGAATCCCAGCGACCTGTGGAATGCTATCAAATGATCTAACATATGAGTAACTGGAAGGCAGCAGGAAGAATGGAAAAAGTTTTTTATAAACAATGGCCAAAACGTTTTCAAATCTTATGAAAACTCTAATCCTATAGATTCAAGAAGGTCAAGAATCTCAAGCATCAACAAATATAAAAAAAAAAAAATCACAGCAAGTCACATATTGAAATTGCTGAAAAGCAGTAATAAAGAGAAAATCTTAAAAGCAGCCAGAGGAGGAAAAAAACATATAAACAGAGGAATAAAGACACAAATGATAGCCAACTTCTCATCAGAAACTACTATGCAAGCCAGAAAACAATGGAGTATATTTGAAGTTCTGAAAGGGAGAAAAAAAAGACAACCCTATCAACATTGACTTATATACTTGACAAAAAGCTTTAAAAAAGGGAGACAAGATATTTTTGCAGACAAACAAAAGCTGCGAGAATTTATCCAGCAAACCTACACTACAAAAAATTGCTAAAGGAAGTTCTTCAGCCAGGGAAAAATGACACCAGACGGAAATTCGAATTGACACAAAGAAACATAGAACAGAGGAAATGACAAATATGTGGGTCAGTGGAAGACTTTTTTCCTCGTTTTTAATCTCTTTAAAAGAGAACTGACTGACTAAAGCTAAAATAATAATGTATTATTAAGTTTATAACATACAGAAATAATGTATGACAAGATAACACAAAGGATGGAGGAATGAAAATATATGGTAAAGTTCTTAAATTATAAGTGAAGTGATACAGTATTTTTTGAAGACAGAGGGTGATAAGTTAAAAACGTATACTGTAAACTTTAAAACAACCACTAAACACATACATAGGCAAATATCCACCCAAACAAAAACATAGAAGTATAGCTAATAATAAGCTAAAAGTAGAGATAAATGGGATCACTAAAGTAATTTTAATATGTTACATTGCTTAAATGCAAGAATCACTGTCTGGTCTTATATCCCTCATAAGGTAAAGGGATGACAATTTTAGTGACAAATTATACATACACATGTACATAATACAATTCTACAACAACTGACAAAATGTCCACACACTCAGTTTGCCAAAACTCAGTCATGTTATTGAGAATTAATGAAATGACCTGAGAAGTTTGTGAAACTAAATGGCTGGGAGTTACAGAGGATCTGTATTATCAAATCTGTCCATGGCCCAGTTGGAATATGGAGACACTTAGTTGTGGTTGTCGGCTCCAGTCTAAACATCAGTGGAAACAGTTCTGGTTGCTGTGGCTAGCTAAGAAGGCAATTCCAGCAATTAGCTGGAGCCATTTTGTCACAGTGACTCAAGAAGATACAGTCATACATTGCTTAATGACGGGATATGTTCTAAGAAATGCATTGTTAGATAATTCTGTTGTGTACTTACAAGGAGTGTACTTACACAAACCTAGATGTGGTAGAGCCTACTACACACCTAGGCTATATGGTACTAATCTTTTGGGACCACTGTCATATATGCAGTCCATCGTTTACCAGTATGTCATTATGTGGTGCATGACTGCACAGATGTCCAGCAGCACAGAAGGCACCTTCCACATTCCTCCCTCCTTTCCTCTTTCAATTACCCATAGATTAGAGATAGGGCAAAAATTAAAAGTTCAGGACTATTAAGGCAGCCGGTACTTAACAGGACAAGATTACAGAGAAAAGGGAATAGCAGAGAAGAGAACCCAAGCCTACGCTGCTTTCCTAGAGCCATTTACTGATTTCCAAGCTGAGTTGAAAAAGATATGTGGAAAGCAGCAGATAAGGGGCTAAAAAGCTGAGTTTTCATATTATGAAAGAGCTGGGAAACAAAAATTAGAGATCAGGGCCCACACAGGAGGAGAAGCCCTGATAAACATCCCCGACTTTCAGTTGTGATTCATAAAAAGTTCTACCCTAGGAGTAAGAACAAACAAGGAATAAATATCAGCCAAGTAAAGAACTGAAACCCAGCATCAAATCAAATCAATCCCTAATGGGATTAAGATAGTCTGAAAATTTGGGGGATGCAGCTAAAGTCATGTTTAGAAGGAAGTATATAGCATTAAATCAATCATCTGAGCTTTCATCTTCAAAAAAACAGCAAAATCAATCCAAAGTAAGCTTTAAAAGGGAGAAAAAAATAAATGTAGTAACAGAATGAATGAAATTGGAAACATAGAGGGGGAAAAAAAAAAGATCAATGGAAATAGATGCCCAAAATAATCCCATACCTATTAAAGAAATTAAATTCATGGTTAAAAACCTTCCAAATGAGGAAACTCCAGTCCAGATAATTTCACTGGCAAATCATACCAAATATTTAAAGAAGAAATAATGCCAATTCTACACAATCTCTTCCAGAAATAGAACAAGAAGGAAATACTCCCCTACTCATTTTAGGAAGTCAGCATTACCCGATACCAAAACAGGATAAAGACAGTAAAAAGACAAAACAAAGCTACAGATCAATATTCCTCACAAACATAGATGTAAAACTCCTCAATAACATATTAGCAAACCAAAACCTGTAATACGTAAAAAGGATAATATATCATGCATTTATCCTACAAATGAAGAAAATGCATTTGACAAAATTCTACAGCCCTTCATGATAAAAACTCTCAGTATCCTAGGAGAATAGAAGGAATAAAAGGAAATTTCCTCAATGTGATAAACAGAATCCATCATACTTAATGGTGAAATATTCCATTCTTTTTCCCAAGATCATGAATAAGGCAAGAATGTCTGCTTTCACTATTTATCACTTCTATTTTATAGCAGATTAGAGGTTCTAACCAATGCAGTAAGGCAAGAAAAAGTATAAAGATTGAGAAACACAAAACTGCCCTCAGTTGCAGATGACAAGATTGTATGTTTGTTTTTTTCAAAATGTAACAAACACACTGGTGTTCAGGCATAAATAACTTACTCACATATACCAATATTCATTTGAAATCATCAAGTTTAAAAGGGAGCTGGCAGCAATTATCTACAATCTCAAAACAAGCCCCCACTACCATCACTATTATATCCCCAGAGCCCTATCACAATAAATACCTGCTGAATGAATGAACATAGGGCAACGCAGTCTGCATGGCTAACTGTAACAAAAGGGCTAAATCAAAGTTTGGTAGTCTTATATACGAATTACAGTGATTCCTGAAATTTTCAATTATTGTTGGCAAACAGGAAACTTGGTTTCTCCATTTTAGCCATGTTTTCTTTTGATAGTGACATTTAATTTCAATATTCTAATCTTTCCTTTCTACCTTTGGATGCAACTAACCCTATAGCATAAATACATCTTATAGTCTTCCTCATCACTATAATTCCAGATGGCATTAAGTCAGACATTTTACATGTGCTGATATAATTTTTAGTGAATGAACATATAACTGAAATTGCAGTATACTGCTATATTTGTTCAAATTCTTAACATTATCTTAAAAGTTATCAGAGTGGGAATACATTCAACAAAATCTCATAGTTGAATGAGTAGTGTATTATCATTGTAATAATTACAATGAATTACTTTGTCAATCTAAAATAATTGTACAATATATGATATATATATTTATACATATATATTTACCCCTTGTGATATTCTAAGATCACTTAAAAAAAATTCAGTGATGATAAGTAGATTATGAGCAAAGTAGGCAGTAAATCATAATTATTGTCTCTGCCAGCAATGGTCATTCTATTCTCCTAAAGGAGAATATATACATATATATAGAGAGAGAGAGAGAGAGAGAGATACACATAAATACATGCACACCCACCCTACACAACATGACCACAGATATATATGTATTCACATGGTGTAAGGAATGAATATTAGACTTTTAAGCCATATTCAAACACAAGTCAGTGGTACCTAATCAGTGTTTTTTACATTAGGAAAAGCAAAATAATGTTTGAAAAACATGGCATAAGCCTCACATAACATACTTCCAGACCCTTGGAAAGTCACACTACTATTGCAATTGCTTACCAGTTCTTCAGAGGTCAAATGCATCAAACGTTCAGCTATTGCAGCACATTGGGCTGAGTCTCTTATAAATTTCCCTTGTTTATCACCGACTACTAGTTCTGGCCATGTCACTCCTTCGTTCTTCTTAATGAAGGAAATCTCTAGGCTAGAAGTTTAAATGAGAAAAGTAATGTTACATTAAGCAACTATACAAATTACATCAACAATACCAAACAGAAGAATCTTCCATAGAAATTACCCCTCTGGTGTTCAGAAGATGTTTTAACAAAAATTATGTTCATTTTCATTTTGCATATGATGAAAAATCTACAATCCAATGGTAAATAACCTAGATTTAATAAAAAACAAGCAAGTACCACTGGAAATGGTATGTCAAATGGCTTGATGAGAGGAGTGATTGGAAAGAGTAAGACCACCCAGAAAGTACTGTAGTCCAGGCGTGCAGTGTGTTACCCAACTTAAGTAACAGAAATGCCAGCAGCATGCATCTATGAGCTATTTCACTGGGGAATGGGGGTGGTGGTGAGGGTGGTGGTTGGGGTGGGGGTTGGTACATAAAGTTAATTGGAAAGAACCTATAACTAAAGGTACCTCTTCAAGTGGGGAGCCAACAATTAACTTTATTTTCACAAACTAGTAGCCATAATATATGATTATTAACCTAAAGATTAGGTAGGTTAAATACATGTGTATTTTTAAAACATAGATTTTAAAGAATTGAAAAGAAATGTGGGAATTAGAAAAAAATTAACTTTGGTAATACAGGAAAAAAATTTGTTAATGTGGTCTCCATCAACTTAAAATCTAATAATTCTGTACACTTAAGCCATTAAACACAAATTCCAAATGCACTTAAAAGCGCCTATCAAGGAATCCTGAGATTAAGGTCTGATGCAGCAGGACAGGGAGAGGGAGCTGAGTGAGGGCAGACTGTGGACATAGGAGTTGCCCATGTGCCACATGAATAGGAAGGGAAATTTAAGTAAGCTGCTTTGAGAGCAGCCACCGTTGTAACACAGAGAAAAGTGGAGTGGTGGTAGCTGTTCCATAGCAAGCAACCTTTTCCACATGCCAGCTTTGGTACACGTGTGCCATACTAACCCATGCCCAGGAACACAATTGCAAGCAAACAATTGCAAGAACACAATAATAACTATTATCATAATTATCGAATAAAACAAAGTTATCAGCTATTCTTTTTCAAGGCTATCATCAGCACCTCATGATTTAATTATAGCACTCTAAAATTTCCTGAAACTGCTTAAAGAGACTACATAAAATAATACTTTTTCTATGTAATGAGTTCCTAGCATTAGCATTAAAAATTACCACCACAATCAATAATGCCCAGATTTAGTTATATTTACTAAGGAGAAAGCTAATCTTGAGAATGATGATGATGAAGATGATAATAAGATACTAATAATGACAGCAACTTATTCTTACTAATGCTTACCATAACGCCAGGTGTTATCTTAAGCACTTTACATGTTTTAACCCATTTATTGTTCACCACAACCAAATAAAGTATTATTTTCATCTCCACTTTACAAGTAAGAAAAAAAACCACTGAGGTTAAGTAACTTGCCAAGGTCACAAGCTAGTAAAGCAGTTTGGCTCCAAGTCCATGTTCTTCACTACTGTAACTATTCTACCTCTCTGAAAAAATATATGTAAATAACTATGAAAGAACTTTTACCAAGTGACCAGAATGTATAAATACTGTTCTTAGTCAGCTGCTACCTAAAGAAGTTAGAATGAGTTCATACAATTGCAGTAATAAAGAATTTCTGAACCATCATTAAATTTGCACACTTAGTCAATGCAACCCTTTTAGCATAACTGCATTTCTACATTTTAAAACTAGCATCATATCCTACCATCTAAGCAAAAAGGAACATATAACCCCATATATAATAAACTATAGACTAGTTAATAAATCAAAAGTGAGAGGGAACATTAACTATTTGAAAATGAAAGATATGAATAATTTAATCAAGTACAGAAAATTATGTGTTTTTAAACCAACGACACCACCTACACACATTGTAATTATCTTTTGTAACATAAAATAGTAATCAAGCACCTCAAATTTAATGGAAAAATAATACTGGTCTATGCTCATGTATTAAATACTGAAACTATTTGCCTGAAGTTCAGTTATTCTCCTAGATCTTTGCTGGGTTATTGCTTGATGACTTATATTACCAATATGTTGTAGTTGGTTTGCCAATATATAAATGCTACTACTCTAAGCCTCTCACATACACATAAGATATGTTTAAATAGAGTATGTGGAGATATAAAATATTTTTTAAAGAACCTTTCAAATAATTAACTTTTTAAAATAATACATTAAAAAAGGTAGGGGGCCAGCCCGGTAGCATAGTGGTTTAGTTCACGCGCTCCGCTTCGGCAGCCTGGGGTTCCCGGGTTCAAATGCTGGGCACGGAGCTACACATGGCTTATCAAGCCATGCTGTGGTAGGCATCCCACATATAAAGTAGAAGAAGATGGGCCCAGATGTTAGCCCAGGGCCAATCTTCCTCAGCAAAAAGAGGACTGACAACAGATGTTAGCTCAGGGCTAATCTTCCTCACCAAAAAAAGTATATATAGAACCAAGTCACCAAATTTCTCCATTAATAAAATAAATTCAGGATATTTGCTTTTAAATCTTAAAAGAATTTTTGAACTCGATATCTATTTCTTAGACTTCCAGGATTTAGACTCATATCAAAGACTCATATGGATCATATACTACTAATCGAGACATATTTAGAGTAAAAATATCTAATTTTAACCCACTCCTGACCATTTTTAAAATTAAGTGCCTAATACCATTCATTAACCCATCATGGAATCCAATAATTACTAAGATCAATTTTTTTAAGTGATTGTGTAGTTGATAGAGTAAAATACTATGAAGCCATAAAGAAAGATAAAAAAAAATCATTATGTATTCTTTACAGAAAGCTCTCTAAGATTTATTGTTGAAAGTCAACAAAAGCAAGCTGTACAACTGTGTATAGTATGTGTTGAAAATTTTTTTGTTAAAAAATATGCAGCTTGAATATGCATAAAATACCTCCGAAAAGAAACTAATAATAGTGGTTGTGAGGAGTGAGGGGACAGGTGACTGAAGGGCCTGGGTTGGAGGGAGACTTCTCACTGTATTCCCTTTTATATATCTTAACATTTAAAGAATGGGAACGTATTATCTAATGTATTATCTGTAAATTAATAGAAAAAAAATTATTTCTATGAAAAAGTTTAAAAAGTACAAATTAAATAACTATTTTACCTATTAATTATTATTATTTACTGTTATTATTATTATTAACGTATCCAGAGCTAATAATGAAAGCACTAACATATAACGCAAGCAATAACCATTCTAATATTTTTAATCTTAACTACAATTATGCTGTTCCACATGGTAATTCCATTTTTAATCTATCTGAAGAAAAATAATCAGCAATACAGGCAGACCTATTGTAGTACTGACCTTTGATGTAACCACTGTAGAAAAGACAAAAAGAAAAGAAAAAGAAAAAAGTAAAATAATAAAAAGTAAAATTTTAAATACAAATAAAACTATAAAAATACCTATTATTCTCTGTAATTATCCATGTACTGCTTTCTTGATCAATAGATGAATAGAGATTTCCTTCCAAAAACCTCTGACCCTTTAGCACAATGTTGATGTGATCAGGCAAAAACTGTACTTGAATGTCCTCCTTAGTACTGTCTTCTGGAAGCTGTATTGTTACTGTCAAATCATCTTCTGTCTGTTGCCAATAATATAGAGGTTCTATTAGGAAAAGAAGAATGCATTACATGAGAAAAAGTTAGGGAACAGAACATACAAAATTAGAGACTAGAACATACAAAAGAACACCCCTCTAAAAGAATCTTAACATATCTTCTAGTGATCTTCTCACAAAAAAGTAACTATAAACAAACACACAGATCTGTTTGGGGAATTTTCAAACACTTATAGCAATTGCACTTGACATTTTCCTCTCCCAGGCCTATCTAATGCTCTAGGAGATAAGCACTCATAAAACACTAATGATAGAATCCTTTATCCCCATTCCTTCTCTCCCTGCCTCCCAGGCCCCTCCTTTCCTCCTTCTCCTTCTTCCCCTTACACACACACACATACACACACAGACACTCACTCTCTCTCTCTCTCTCTCCCCGCTCTGGATTCCTAGTTCAAAAGAATACCAAATACGTCATAAACCACTGTCTGAAACTTTCACATTGCCTTGATTTGCCCTAACAATGTAACTCTTGTGATATAGGAGACCACTATTATTTGGTGGGATATACACCCACACAAAAATAAAAGATATATTATAAAGGTATTGATTATTCTACCCCACAACTTTGTTGCATTAAAGCAATATCACAGGAAATTCAAGAGCTGTCAGTATACTTTGTCTAAGTTCCCACTAAAAGAATCCTTCCTTTTCTCCCTCTCTATCTCCTCGGCCTGTCTCCTAAAAAGCCAGCTACTAAAGAAATACCTTTAGACCCATCATACTATAACCATGAAAATAAGAAAATAGGGCTTATATGCAAAAAGAATAAATATTTGCTTAATGACATCCATAAGCATTAATCTGTCCACCCACCAAGACTATAACAGTGGTTAGGAGCTAGTGCTCCAGAGCTGACTAGTCCTGGGTCTGAATCCGGGTTCAACCATTTATTAATTTTTGTATGCAACTTTATCTCTGAGCTTCGTTTCCCTATTCTGTAAAATAACAGCAAGTGACATACCTCGTAGGACTGCTGACATTTAAATAAGTTAATACATATAAAACATTTACTATCAATCCTGTTCTTAAATATATTATAAACTCTAAATGTGAGTTATTAGTCTTCTTTTTATTTTTGTGCTGTTTTATGTAAAAACTGTGGGGGTACTTCATTGTTAGTGCCATCGAGTCTATTTCAACTCCTAGCGACCCTGTGTCCAGCAGAGTGGAACCCAGCCAGCCTTTTTGTTACCCTCTCATCTTCCAGCACCGTATCAGACAATGCTCCACTGCTATTTAAAGGGTTTTCACGGCCAATTTGTTTTTCAGATGTGGGTGGCCAGGTCCTTCTTCCTAGTCTGTCTAGTCTGGAAGCTCCACTGAAAGCTGTCCACCGTGGGTGACCTGCTGGTGTATGAAATCCCAGCGGCACAGCTTTCAGCATCACAGCCACCACAGCATGACAAAAGACAGACGGGTTTATGGTTTCCTAACGGGGAAACGAACCCGGGCCGCAGAGCTGAGTGCGCCGAATCTTAACCACTAGACCACCAGGGCTGGGGGAGGGTACTAGATATGCTCAAAGATATAGCGTAGGTATGGTGTATCTTCTTGAAGGGCTCACTTTCACTTGATGTTAAAAAAAAAATGTATTTTAACAAACGTGATATTAAAGAAATAAATATAAAATATGCATGAATTTTCAGGATAGAATTGTTACTTTGGGGAAATTTCTAACTTGTATCATTTCCTTTAAGTAACCTTTCAGATTCTCTCTATTTTGCCTTTAGAAGTACTTTTAACATAAACTCACGGAAAAAGTTTGAACTATAGCTTAAAAGATTGATAACTATAAGCTCCTTAAGGCAAGTAATTTGTTTTATTCATCTTTTTGTCTACCAGAAAAGTTAATGAGGCAGTTTATATATAATAATCACTCAATAGATAACTTCTGCCAGATATAGAAATGGGAGGAATTTGCAAAATCATGTGAGCTTTTAGTATAAATTAAAGGCCATGGAAGGAGACTAGAGAGAAAGCCAGAATTTTTTAATTCTCTCTCCACTAAAAGTATACAAATACCTAAATAATTTTTTCAATTGTTGGTTGCTCTGAGTGCCTTTCTATGTCTTTAGATATCATGTTTTGGGTCTTTCAAAGAAAATACTATTATTTATATCATTCTGACAATACCAATTGGGCAACAGACAGTATCAGTCTTCTTGAGGTTTACAGAAAACGAAACCAATATATACACTCAGAAGAGTGTTCAAAAGAAAACATGCTATAATTAACTATCCACAATTTTTAAAAATTACAACATTTTTCCTTTATTATTGTGAAAATCCTATGACAAAACAAATACAGGGGCCAGCCCAGTGGCATAGTGGTTAAGTTCGTGCGCCCTGCTTTGGCAGCCTGGGGTTCGCAGGTTCGGATCCCGGGCACGGACCTACGCACCACGTATCAAGCCATGCTGTGGCAGGTATCCCGCATATAAAGTAGAGGAAGATGGGCATGGATGTTAGCCCAGGGCCAATCTTCCTCAGCAAAAAGAGGAGGTTTGGCAACAGATGTTAGCTCAGGGCTCGTCATCCTCACCAAAATAAATAAATAAATAAATACAGAATAAATTTCCCAACAGAAAGTGGGTACAAAAAATTAAATAGGGGATGTTTGTTAAAAGGAAAACAAAAACGGAGGGGATTTGATGTTTACATTAAAAGAGAAGAACAGACATATAATGAATTCATGAGGAATTCAAAATATAATGTGCGATGTCAACAAGAAAAACAATACCTCGACTGGCAGTGATTTAAACACATGTTCTGTCCCACCCAGGCTGCAATCTGTCTTAGAACTACAGGGTCCTAGCTACTAGGCAGAATGCTTCCAAAGAGGAAGGCATTCTTTCACTTCTTCACAATTGCTCACCAAAAGAGTCCTAAAGGGCACTGGTCTACAGATATAAATAGCTGTTCTTGCTAAGTTCTAAGAGAGTTAATATTATAATTTAGACTGAACAGTAGGATTTATTCAGAAAGGGATCTCAGAGATCCTCAGAGAACAAAAAATACATCACATGTGAGGAAACCAAGTTGTTAAGAGGCTAAATAAAAGGTCACCAGGAACAATTCATATTCAGAGGTGTATGTATTTATAAACCTGGGGAAAATATTTTTTAAATATTAGTATTTTCAAATACTTTTCAAAGAATTCATTGTTTAGAAAGCTATAAATATATAAAAATAATGAAACTAATTTTTATTTTACATATAAAGTTGTTTAAGTAACAAAAAAGGTACATTCAAAGAGTAATATGTATAAGTGTTAAATATTGTGAAAAATCTCTGTTAAGTAACATATACTATTCTCTGGCTATAAACATCAGAAATATGAACACTAATGATTACAGAGGGATGTTCTCTTGAATAGCTTTAAAAGAGTATGTACTCTTTTCTATAAACATAAATTTCTTCTGAAAGACCTTGTTACTCTTCATTCTAAAATACTACCTTCATTCATTCATTCAACACCGAGAAAACAATGATTCTGCCCTCAAGGAACTTACTTTCAGTAGAGTACAAAAGGTAAGAACATGTACATTAGTATACACCTATAATGAAGAGAGTTTAGCTTATCTTAAAAGATTAATATCTTCAATACTAATATGCTGGCTTCTCAAATGACAACAAACAGACATTATTTATTCATTTGATAAGTATTTATGAAACATCTAAACAGGTAAGCGAATGCATCAATTTTTTAAAAACATTTTTGGTAACTACAAAATTATTTAACTAAACTAGTTCACACTATTTAGGTACTACATTTTACAAAAGACTATTCTGGGAAATACAAAGGAAAATAAAATGCCCTGGTAGAACCCATAACCTACTAACCGGGAAGACAAACCAGACATAAATACGTAGGTACATAAATACACACGAGCTCTATGAAGATTAAAAGGAAAATTACTTTTGATTTTCTCTGACATGTCTTCATCCTTAATTTCTTCAAGATCTTGACCAACTTGAACAAATGTGAAGGACTTGTAGGAAACAATCATTAGACCATTCCCATCAGGCTCGATAGCAGCATAATGTGGCACTGACTTTCCACGGAGAATATCACGCTTAATAATTTCATATTTTTTATCTGTAAGAAACTAAAGTATTTTAGAACAAAAGAATTACAATTAAAACACTATATTATAAAAATATTCTGGGGGCCGGCCCTGTGGTGTAGCGGTTAAGTGCACACGCTACGCTGCTGGCGGCCTGGATTCAGATCCCGAGCACGCACTGAGGTACGGCTTGTCAGGCCATGCTATGGTGGCGTCACACATAAAGTGGAGGAAGATGGGCACAGACGTTAGCCCAGGGCCAGTCTTCCTTAGCAAAAAAGAGGAGGATTGGCATGGATGTTAGCTCAGGGCTGATTTTCCTCACACAAAAAAAAAAAAAACTGAAAATATTTGTGTATCAATTTAATCAATATAAAGTACTTTTAGATGCACACTATTGAGTCTTTCATAAGGATAAAAAAATTTACAAACATTTTCTGTAAATAAATCCTTATTTTAAATACTAAGTCTGATGAGATTTGCTCTGGATTGTGCTTTCCAATGTGGTAGCCACAGGTCACAGTGGCTAATTAAAATTAAGTAAAATTTAAAGTTCAATTCCTCAGTCATAGTAGCCACATTTCAAATGCTCAATAGCCACACATGGCTAGCTGCTGTTGTACTGAATGGCACACATATAAAAGATGTCCATCTTGCAGAAATTTCCATTGCCCCAAGCCTTGGATCGGAAAGACAGATTTGAGAGCTTTTGCCTCCTGTCTCCTTGCAGGTCGACCTCGAAATGAAGCTTTTTTCTTTTCTCAAAAGATGATGCTGTAATAACTGGCTTTTTATGAGCACTGGGCAAGAGAACCCCATCTTTGTGAGGTAACAAAACTATCTATAGATGGTCATTTCACTGCATGGCAGGTACTAGAATCATAACACAATGCCCAAGAAAAAGTAAACAGCATTCACGAGAACAGCCTTGCATTTCAAAATCTACTAAATGATGTCAATCACTACAGATTCATAATTTGGTTATATTTTACCTTTATTTTTCTTACTGAGAGTGACCCACTCCAAAGAAACATAGAAACCACTTCCTTTCATATCCAATTCCTCTTTCTCTATTCGAAGAAGTAGGGTAGCTATCGAATGTTCTTCAGTGTTCAGCAATGAGATACTATGAATTATGATAAAAGGATTCCCAAGCTCTTCATTAAACATAATCTACAAAAAAAATAAAATTACACATACACAAAAATGCATATATTACACGAACACAGACAGCATAAAAGGAATACACAGAATTCTGACAATTCAACAATTAATTTGGATACTATTTATTACAAGGAATACAAAAATGAAAAAAGCCCTTAAATAAAAGTTAGAAGTTTAAATAATATTCCTTGAAGAAAGAACTTGTTAAAAATGTCTATTTGTTTAACAAAGAAAATTTGTCCATACTCTTGACTTAAAAACACACAACAGGGCATCCAAGTAGCACCTAAAGGAGAAAGAGAACTAAAATCAGTCTCCTAGAAAAGAACTATCAGGTGAAAACAGTGCTCTATACAAAGAGAGGACAAGGGCCGGTCAACGTTCATTCCTCCATCTCTTCCTCTGTCTCACGTAGGATTTATTTCTGCTGTCTTCCTCTTAGTTTCTGGACACTGTGGGTGCATGCATGTGTGCATACGTATGTCTGTGTCTATGCTTTTTTTTCCTATTGTTTTTGTTTTGGTTTGGTTTTTCTGTTTGTTTTCTGGAAGTTTCCAAAGGTAAGAATCAAAGAAACTAGAGAACACATCACTTAAACTTTCTTATTTCTCAAAAACAAGAGTCCATTTACATTTAAAAGGTATAATTCAACAAACTCTATTTAAAATATAATACCAAAATTGCTTTTTAAAAAGCAAATCTAAGGGGCCAGCCTGGTGGTGTAGTGGTTAAGCTTGAGCACTCCACTTCAGGGGCCCAGGGTTTGCAGGTTTGGATCCCAGGAGCAGACCTACACACTGCTCATTAAGGCATGCTGTGGCAGCGTCCCACATACAAAATAGAGGAAGACGGGCACAGATGTTAGATCAGGGACAATCTTCCTCACAAAAAAAAAAAGCATATCTAAGCATCATACAAAGACACAAAATCCTATCAAATTCTCTTTTTATACCACAACACATAATCTAAAAGACTATTATATAAGAGTAAACATTAAATAAGAGACATTTTAAGACTGATTCTAAACAAGATTTTTGAATAAATGAAAAGATAAATAGTTGGAAACAAACACTCAAGTGAAAAACAAATTAGCCTTTCTTTTTTTAAACCTATATCTGGAATCCCATCCTATCTGCTCCTACTTGAAAGCCTTATTAAAAAAAAAGTGTGCTTTAATGTCATCAATTTCCCCATATGTTTGAGCACCTCCAATAAAATTATTCCAATAGTAGACCTCTGGAAGCCATTCTAAAGTCTTCCATAGCAGGAAAAAAAAAACCCTCAAATACTCAAAACAGAGATGATAAAGACAGGTTTTTAGTCAGTTGACTGAGTTTTTCTTTGGGGGACAATGGGAGACAAGAGGGAGGAAAGAAAAATGGCAAGTTTTGCCAGGTACAAGTAGCTAGTTTATTGTTTCCTCCTCTTCCTTCCCTCTCACGTGAGTGACAGGGACTGGAATGAGACCAGAGGAGTGGATGTTTGGACTTTTATAAATTGTTAGCCTGAAGTTTCCATCTCCTGCACAAGCCCAGCAACTCAACTGTGATATTACTGATATATAGCACCCCCAGCATAGTAGAGGCAAAACTTTCAGAAAGCAGGCAGTCTTCCTGTCTCCTTTCATTTCTCTTTCTACACTTCAGTCGTCACCACCCTTGCTTGGCCCCCTTATGCCCTACCATGCCCTCTAACCACTCCGACCTTTAGCTGCCTCTGTTACACCAATTCCCCCAAAGTCCTAAAACTCTCCTATGTTGTTTCTCTTAAAGTAACCATATTCCATAGTATCCTTCCCCCCTCAGTTAATGCCCAAGTCCCATCCCTTTCCCACTGCCCACCTCCCCAATCCCCAGTCAAAACTATTATTAAGTGAAAACATCTCAGAGGTTATTTCATTACAGTATATACTGAAGAGAATATATAGCATATATGGGAAACCATATATGCAGCCTGTTTATTTCATACGGCATATACTGTATACTGAAGAGAACATGGAAGATTTAAATTTCTGATTTACAAAATTTATTGAAGGCTTAATATGTGCCAAGGGGATATACACAGCAGAAACCAAATTAATTATAAATCTATATGCATTTCCTTCTGGTGGAATATGTGGTGTTATTTTTAAGCTGAAGGTGAGCTGAGCCAGGGTGTCTCTTCCTGTTCAAAACCAACAGAATCCACACAGCTTGACAACAGATCAATTCTCATTCATATCTCTCTTGCCCATCATTCTCCAAACTCCTTCCAACTGTTTCAGGTAGCTGTGCTATATACCACATTACCTCAGTTAAAAAAGAAGTTATTACTGGAGGCCAGAGCAGAAAATGTCACAATGTCCCATGAATATTTGAAACTGTGGCTACAAAGGCATGCAAAAGCTCCCTTTGTTAGGCTATTGTTGTTCGGTCATTTACTGTATTTTTTGTTTAGTTTTTTGAACATACTACAATTTGGTAGTACTCCATTTAGTATAACTTGGTAAGAAAGGGAAACTTGGTTCTAAGGTCTTCTTGGTTTTTTTCAAATAATTAAAGCCTGGTCTTTGTAGGCATCTACTGATCCGATAAAAATATTTTAGGAGATATAAATACTTTAAGTTTGTATTTCTTTACCCAGAACTAAAGGACACCTGCTGAGATTTAGACAGTAGCAATATCACAATACACTTATTAGCATAACTCAGTTTCATTCTTTTCCACTTTCCAAAACTGTGGCTCTAGAGAAATTAATTCCTTATTTATTACTATTAAAATGCTACCCTGCCCCTCAGATTTAAATGTTACATTGTTTTAAGAAAACTGAAGTAAAAATGGCATCTTAGAGATTGGCACATTACTATATTTATGTCAGAGTGTATTTTTTTAAGTAGGGAATACCCTGGTAAACTCACTATCTGACTAACGTAAAACATACCAGACAGCCAGCAGAGTGGTGAAGAAGTGTGCTGGGCCCATAAACATACCAGCAAATATAACATGAGTAGAAGAGAAAAGACATTCTAATGTAATTTTTTTGGCCAACTCTTCAAGAAGGAGGCAACGTCAATGCTTAGTGTACCACTTTTATATATATAAAGCGCTCAATAAATATTTGCTGAAAATGAATACAATTCCTGACCACTGCACTGACACCAGATCAAAACAGGAATGGTTAACATATCAGTTTTGTAAAAGGTATACATTTTATAATTTAACGAAAAATATATCCAAAACATTATATATTCTAAAAACCAAGAGGTCACATGTAAACTATACCTAAAAAGTGTTATTTCAAAATCATTAAAGTCTAATTTATATATACTTTCCAGAATTTGCATAAGTCTAGAAAAAAAAAGTCTCACCTCCCATTTTTCAGAAGCACTATTTCCACGTTCACCTGTACCAATGAGATACAATTTTCCAGTTCCATCTGACAAGGTAACCCAGGTAGAAGATGTGAAATGGATAGATGCAGAAAGGCGATTGTCGTATGCTGTCAAATCTGTGGGAAGTCGAAACACCTCTCGTGGTTTTCCCAAGGCAGTGTCCTAAAAAGAAACCAAACATAGATGAGTCTCTTCCTCTCCCTGATCCCTATACACACAGAATAAGTATGTGCAGTGTAGTGGTTACTCTCCTCTTCAAGAGAAGGTGCCTGATTCCCCTCCCTTTGAGTATGACCTGTACCACTAACTCAATTCTAACCAACAAAATACGGCAAAAAGTGAGGGTTATGTGACTTCTCACTAGGTCATAAAAGACTTTTTGCTTCTTTACATCTTCTATCTTGCTCTCTCTCCTGGATTGCACACGGCAGACCCACATCGGGAGGAACTGAGGGCTCCTGACAATAACCAGCACCTTGTGAGCCAATCATTCTGGGAGTGTATCCTTCAGCCCTAGTCAAGCCTTCAGATTACTGCAGTCTTGGCGACATCTTGGCTACAACCTCATGAGAAACCTTAGGACAGAATCACCCAGCTAAGCCACTCTGATTTCTGACCCACAGAAACTCTGTGAGATAACAAATGTTTATTGTTTTAAGTCACTAAGTTTTGAAGTGAATTGTTACACAGCAATAGATAACTAATACAATGCAGGAATCTAGTTTTAATTCTTCTCTTAAGTTTAGAGTTAATGATCAGTATTTTGAACTAACTGGAAATACCACATCATGTTCTAAATGCCTACATAGACATCAGCCTGTCGTATGAAAACACTACATTTAGACTATTACAAACTTAGGTTTTTGTAAACACATTTTTATTGTGTCTGTATCCTTATATTTTAAAGCTGTAAAACGGATTGCATCATTAATATACTTCATAAGAAAATATATAAAAAAGCCTACAATTCAGGGAATAAACTTCCTTTCATATACCAAAATGTACTCAACTCAATAATTTTTTGTCACTGTTGTTAAAGTTTTAGTTTTCAGTTAAAAGATTTTCCTACAGGCCAAAAATAATCCTTGATTCGTGTATTTCATTCTCTGTTCCTAGAATTAGTTAGATCTATGTATATATTAATAAAATTTAAATAAACTATATACAATGTCCTTACTAGCCAGTTTTTTAGTGACCCACTGTTTCTTTCTAAAGAGTCCAATTTTCTTTTCTTTGAAAGGGCACCTTTCCTTCTTTTTGTACTCATATTTTACTGATTTACATAATATTGAATTAAATAATGAAAATACGATAACAAGCACAACTGGCATAAAGTTTTCAGGAAGACCATATCTGAGTATTAGTGATGCAAAACTCAACTAGCAGAAACAGAAGTGTATCAGCACAGTACTGAATAGCCTATTAGCAATAAATCTTAAGCTTACTGTGGTCTTCAGTCAGTATGTTATCAGAGGAAATAGAAAATATCAGTTAATCCAGTCAGTCAGTTAAATGGAGGTCAATTAAGAGAAATTTTACTGCAGGCTGAAATCTAAGTAGGCATTTAGAACATGATGTGGTATTTCCAACCAGTGAGAAACAAATGGAGTAGTTAAAAAATGGTATTGGGACACTAGAGATCTTTTGGAAAAAAAATCATTCTTTTCTGCATACCATACACAAAAACATTCCATATTCTAAATAGATTAATAATCTAAATGTTTTAAAGAAAAAGTAAAATAACTTTGATAGAATATTAATAATGTTCTAATAATTTCAAGGTGGAGAAAGTCTTCCTACGCAAAATAAAAGATATGTGGGAGACAGGGAGGAAAATATTTGCCACAAATATAACACAGGACTAATATCTATAACATATAAAGAGACTTTAAAACTCCAGAAGAAATACATGATTATCCAAAATGTTTAAATGGGAAAAAAATATGAACAGGAAAACTGTGGTTAAAAAAAATTAGCCAGAAAAAAAAGATCTTAGTCTAGAAATGCATTTTCTTGACTAAAGTGCCTTGCTGGCGGGAGTAAAAATAAGTATAGGCTATTTGGAGATGACTATAAATCAAATTTTATGAGGTTTTATATACCCTTTGGTACAATTCCAGCTCTAGAAATTTATAAGAATACTTGCACACACACAAAGTTCCAAGAAACAAGAATGTTCATTTTAACAATGAAAACGAAAAATTGTGCCAATAAAAACTAGGCAACGACCTAGTTATTTATCAACAGTAAGTAAGAAAAAAGCAGCCCCGACATCCCAGAGCTGGCCTGGTAGCATTAGCTAGGCCTCGGTTTTGCTACAAGCTGGCCTGGCACCAACAGCTATGTTCTCCTGATCAACATAAACAGTTTCACAGAACAGAAATATCGATTAGGCCACTGTGTGACCATGATGGAACGAGACAAAAATAGCATCACTCCGTAATGATATCTGAGCACAGATGAAACATGAACATTGTCAAAGCCACAAACAGGACCTTAACCCAGGCCAGCATGAGTGACTGCAGCTTCTTTACTAACTACAGCCTGAGCCTCGGTCTAGTCTTCTCTCCTTCGGGAGAAGCCTTATTAAGATACCCATTAGAGAATTACACAGCTTCCTGGCAGTTTTCAATCCAGAGCAAAGCCCCACTTTCTTAAATCCTTCCCCCAAATCACCTAATACAAGCCCAATCCTATAATAAGTCCTTTCTAACATCCTCTTACTGAAACACTCTGTCTTTCCCCATGGTGTGCATTCTCCTCTGCTGCAAAATGTAATAAATCCAACTCGTTCAATTATAGATGTGTACCTGGCACCTTTGTCTGAACAGAATGGCTAACTATGGAATATCCACCCTTTGGAATACCAAATAACTGTTAAGTATACTGAAGTGGATTTATAAGACTGACATAAAAGGATCTCCAAGATAATAAATGAAAGAAGAAAGATGCAGAATATGTACAGTATGATTCCATATATATTGAAACAACCAAACGTTGTGATATGACACCACGGAGCAAGGTGTAGACAGACACATGCTGGTCTGTTAACAGTGTTTACCATTAGAAAGGAAAATAGGACTGGAGTGTGACTGGTGGTAGGGGAGACTGGGGATAAGGGGAAACTTTCCATTTTTGCTTCAAATACATTGCTTGACTTTTTTTTTTTTTTTTTTTTTTACACTGAGCAATTTATGTGTGATATATATAATTTAAAAGAACTCAATAGGATAAAATAAAATGGAACTTCTTTCTCAAAACAGTTGTTTCATAGAAAAGGTTTCCAGTGGTCTCCTCCACTACACGCCCTTCACTGAATCTAACCTAGTGAACCACCATTAAGAAGAATGCAGGACTGAAGTTGTTAAATCATTGTTCTTCATTTCATACAATTACTAAGGTTGTTTTAAGCTATTTTCTTTTAAATACAAGGTCACACATGACTGAGATTGCTAGAAGTCTAATTGTCAGATAAATGACTGCAATATCCAATGGAATGATAAAGATATTCAAGTATATAAATGTAAAGCCAAAATTAATTAAATTAAAATACAAAAGAAACCACACAGTATCACTTACTTAAGTTAAAAGATAGTTTAAGTGAAAGCAACCTGAATGTTCCTGATTTTTGAAATCTAATTCTCAAAGGGTACATTTGAATTTTAAATGGACTATATGCAATAAAATATTTTCTTCTGTAAATCTTAGACTGTTAAATTATTTCTGAATAACCTCCGTCGACAGTTTTACAAAGTGTCCTCATAATAATGCTTTATGATACTGGTCTATAATGGCCTTGTTCTATCCAATCATTTTCTTCTTCCACACAAAAAAAAAAAGGTTAATGTAACTACAGTTGGACCTCCTCATCCTTGGATTCAACCACCTGCGGATTGAAAGGCCTACAATGGTTTAGTCTGTACTGAACACATACACTTTTCTTCCTTGTCATTATTTCCTAAACAATACAGTATAACAACAACTTACATAGCATTTACACTGTATTAGGTATTATAAGTAGTCTAGAGATGATTTAAAGTATACGGGAGGATGTGCATAGGTTATACGCAAATACTACACTACTTTATATAAGGGACTTGAGCATCCACAGATTTTGGTATTCGAAGGGGGTCCTGGAACCAATCCCCCGCAGATATCTACGTACCACTGTATGTTCAAAGCTGTTGAAAATCATTCTGAGGTAACATTTCACAGCTGAACTGCAGAAGAACTAAAATTTCATTGATGAATGGAACACTTACTGAATGACTACAATCTGTAAGCATCATATTAAATAAGTGCTTGGACTTTCTGCCATCTCATTTAATTATTACCAAATCCTATATAGTTGAAATTATTATTCCTACTTTAAGAAGATAAAGAGCTCTGTTGGAAAACATTAAATAATTTGCCTGGAACTCCACTGCTAGAAAATGGCAGGGCTACGATTCAAATCCTGGTTGACTCCACTCCAAAAGTTGATGGTCTTTTCCTGTATTCCACACTTTCTTGACAAGAAATCACTTTCCAGGTTTTTCTAAACAAATGATACCTCAGATCTCATTGCAATTTCTAGAATACTCTCCCTACAAAAAAAAAATCCCACTATGAATGCAACTATGATATTCAGCTTTTCTTCAGGCTATTATACAGTATTTTTCATTAAATTCCTGAATCAATAAAATGTAATACAAAAATTATAATGTCCACATACTGTATATAAATGACACTGTAAATAAATAATAAATATTAATATATAAACTGTATATATTTATGAAAAACATCTCTAAACTGGAGTTTGGGGGCCTCTTAGTTCAAGATATAAGGAGACAAGCTTTGAACTAACAAAGCATTTTTCTAACACATATACATTTACAGAAAGCACTAGTCAAGTTTAAAGAAAAATGGCCAAGTAAAATTAAATAAGGATGCCATTTACTAGTACTATTAGACATAGACATTTAAAATTTTGCCCTTTTATTTTTTTTTTTTTAAAGATTTTATTTATTTATTTTCCCCCCAAAGCCCCAGTAGATAGCTGTATGTCATAGCTGCACATCCTTCCAGTTGCTGCATGTGGGACGCGGCCCCAGCATGGCCGGAGAAGCGGTGGGCACCGGGGATCCGAACCCAGGCCGCCAGCAGCGGAGCGCGCGCACCCA